ATTTAATCGGAAAAACATTTTTGTGATGCTACGTTGCTAGCGTTTAAATATATCAACTACAATGTCAGCAGATGGCCTTACATGTTTGTCATGGCAGGAGAATGTCTGCAGTCACACACACGGAATACTCATACAGTATACTCCGGTTTACCGTACATTGTGACCGTACATATACTGCATGTAGCTAACGAGGCTAGCTGTATGCTAGCGCAAAACAATGTATTCATGCAAGTTACATTGTATGGTAGCAGAATACCCGTATACGATTGCAATTATAAACACGTTATTGCTAGCCTAATATGAACCACTAGCTTTTGTTCATAGTAGTTTTATTACACTGCATTATAGTTGCCTTTCCTCCAAGCTAACGTTCATATCGTGTTAGCTACCAAGGTAAACAAAGCTAGGTTAGCATATTAGCAGGCAAGCTGTTCATTACACAACTACTACTAACGAATCTAAAACAACTAAGTTTCTCTAATATTTTGTGATTTGCATTTGATTTCGTCCAGCCAGATCCTGGCGGACAATCCATGACGGGACGTGCTAAAAGGCACCGCACCGCACCGGCTGTGCGCAGGCAAGAGGAGGAGGAATGGATGATATACCGTGTATATATGTATATTTATGTTCATTTTGTACATTTCTAAAAATAAAGTTTAATGGAAATACTTAGTAGGCCTATCCTTTCTTCCCTGAATTCATATATTAGCAAACCATGATTTGATTTCTCATCAAACAGTAGTAGTTTATTACAGGTAAAAATAACTTACTCTTTGTTATGTTGGCTCGTAGGCCACAACGGAAAAGCAAGGAGACATACACGAGTTTACAAAACCACGGCACATTTATTGTGGTAAATGCAGAGATAGGTGGTCGAGGGGAGAGGGTCGCTCAGTTCGTCCTTCTGCAGCCGCTTTGGAGAGAGACTCCGGGCCGCTGGGATTAATAGCACCGGCTACGGAAGTGTCCGTGATCGCGCTGATTACCCTCTTCAGCTCCACCCCACCGTAAGCCCTGCAACACACCTGCACAAAGGCCCTGGGGCCGTCACACTCTTCTATAACAACAGTTGTAGGTTCAGTTCGGTTAGTTAGTATAAAATATCAGCTGTACCGACGCCTGGAACACTGATGTTCCCCGAAAAAAGCGGGCGGAGCCTCTCTGGTGGTTGACTAATCAGAACAGAGTGGCCGAGCTGACCAATCGGAGCACACTAGGCTCACAGGGAGGGGGGGGCAAGAGCTCCAACGAGTCGTTTAGTGGAGAAAGTGAATACTGCTGAATACACATGCTTGACAGAGATGCTGTATGCGAAACCAATGTGAGTTTGGAAAATTGCACAGTATAAATCTATTTTAGTATACCTCAACAATGTAATTATGATCAGTGGAAATGGCCATGACATGGGCCCTTTAAAGGGGACCTATCATGCAAAATGCACTTTTGTACGTCTTTTATACATGAATATGTGTCCCCGGTGTTCCAGGGAACTCACCAAGTGTCAGAAAACACAACCCTCTCTATTTTCCTCCATACCCAAATCTCTAAAAAAGGGGCTGCAACGGATCTGATCAAAACTGATCCAGATTTGAACACTGTCCTGACGTCAGGACAGTGGCGCTACGGCTATTGGGCCAACTCCACCGATCAGGAGGAGACAGCCACGGCCATTGCCGTTCAAAAGCGCTGGAGACGCTGTAGTACATATGCCAGGCCTGTAGATGGTGCTGTTCTCACTGAATCTGCCCTTGCTAAAACAGGGATAAAAAATGTCAAATTGAGCAAAATGAGGCATGGCTAAAATGAATGATCTGTTTGGTATTTTGAAAAAAAAAAAGTATAAATATGCCTTATATAGGTATGGTCCTACACTATATTATTCAAATATAGCATGATAGGTCCACTTTAATATAACTAAAAGGGGTACGTTATAAAATAATTCACTCCCCAATCCATTGTCATGAATGTGGAATCTAACTATATCCAGAATAAGTTTTATTGCATCCAGGGGTAGACACATGTTTATTTCTGCTGTAAAGTTGGGCATTTTAACATGGGGGTCTATGGAAATTGCTCCTTTCTGCAGCCATCCCCTATCGGCCAATAGATTAACTGCAGTTTGTGGCACTTCCTTATGGGCTTCCCGGCTCTGTCCCAGAGTTTGCCGCTTGCTTAAGACTATCATAGTTAACGTTAGCTAATCACACTTCATTTCAAGACACCGGAATTGTTTTTAATGTTAAACAAATAAAACTTTAAAAGCACTTCACATTACTCACACTCTGATTGTCATTCATATTCATGTTACGAAAAGCTAGGGTCCTATGACTGCGGTCCCAGGAATGCGGTCCTGACACTGCAGTCTCCGGGGCTGCAGGAACATGCTACTCTTCCTGGGGGCTTGCTTGCACAGCACCCCCAAAAGAAAATCTCTGGCATCGCCACTGGTTAAGCCAGATAACTCAAACATATCCAGGGTCTGTTGAACTGGCTTCGTAGTACAGGCCACTGGTAAAATGACAGTTAACAACATTTTAATGATTCATAAAAGCACCCCTTGCACATCAAGACTATCACACTGGGATTTGTGTAACAAAGGGCGAAATTGCAGTAATTTTAGCTCAAGAACGATGAGTTTAAAGGTGGGGTAGGTAAGTTTGAGAAACCGGCTCGAGATACACTTTTTGTTATATTCCATGGAATGCTCTTAACATCCCGATAGCAATGAATATCTTAAGTGCTTTGACAAAAAATCCATAAAAAAATGTCATCTGTGGAAGCCGTAGTACTGTAAAAAGCACGACCAATCATTTTAGCCGGCCCGGCTAAAATAACTGGATGGCCTACCTGCCTGTCAACCTTCCATCTGTGCACAAACTTATCTCGTGCCCTCATTGGTCATGTGCGCGTTCGTGTGTGTTGGAGGAGGGGCTCTGTAAGGAAGTGGCAGATTTTTTCCGGCTGTGTATTTTCAAATTCTAGCGATCTCGAGCTGGTTTCTCCAAAATTACCTACCCCACCTTTAAATAAACGCATGATACCATGACTCAACCTGCGACTCAACCTGTGGCACAGCCCCACCTAGTGTCAGCAGAAAGTAATTAAAATAATAATTCCAAAAATATGCAAAAAATATATATCTCAAAATATATGTTAACCTGTTAAGCCCGAGAGACCCCGGTACCGGGGCACTGCCGCAACATCTTGCAGGAAACAGTGTCTGAGGGCATGTTCATTTAATAAACTATGAATGTTTTATATCCATGTAACGGGAAGAAACTCATCTAACTGATCTTTTTAATTTTTTTTTCAAAAAAAAACCACAATGCTAACACTCAGCCTCTGAATTAGCCACGAGCGAAGAAATGTAACCTATCACTGCACCTAAACTCACTCATAACTCCCTTATTACTTATCCTAGATGCACAGCCAACCCCTCGATTAGCATCTGCTGGAGACACAGAATCGTTTGGTGCCCACCTCAACACTCAGTGATAAACATTTGCGACGCTATAAACGAAAGCGTACATCAGAACATGTGGAGCTAGGTAGCTAGAAACGCTAACATGGCTTACCTTGGTCAAAACTGGTCTTCAATGGCATTAAAACGATAAAATCCATAGGTTAATCCAATGTGTGTGTGTCCTCTTTGAAATGATTTCTGATAACCCATAAGCAATAAAACTGCTTTTTCATTTCCAAATGTCAGAGCGAGAGATCGCTTCACTCTGGTGCAAACCTGCATGCGGGAAGCCCCCACCGTTTGTTTTCACAACGAGTGTGTGTGGGGGCCTCCCCCTTCGATTATATTGGCTCTAACGGTCAGAAAGAGGTGTCAACCATCCAAATCGACCAAGGGGGGCCAGAGATATGGAGAAAAAAAACATTTTCACCCAAATCACCTCAGAGGTGGAGTGGTTTTGGCTAAACCTCTCTAAAAAGGTCAAATGTCACTTGTTTTGCATCAATCTTGATACAGGGTACTTATTATATGTTGTACTTTGAATTCCTAAAGCTTTTAGTCTACTAACCCATCATCCAAGGGTAGTTTTCACTATAAGTAAAAAAGAATTTTTGGACGGACACTATAATTTACAGTTTTTTACTATGTAAAATCTGAATTTTCTTTCAAAATAAAAAACATCTATATTGATTCTGACACTTCTACATCCAACTCACAGGTGTAACCTTGCTTTGATAAAAGAAATTATTCATATAACCCTTTTAGAAGTTAAGTTGTAGTCATTTGTTTTGGGCATGTCATTTTCGAGCCTGAAACATGAAAAACAGGCTTGGTGCTTAACAGGTTAAGATCAGTAGGTTTTGGTGTGCAACACTCCGTGTCATTTTCACTTTACATTCACATTTCTAGCAAATGTAATATTAGCCACATGCTGAATGCTAACCGGAGATGAAAGATTTTCAGAATAAAAGCTTGACATTGAGATTTTATGAGAACTTCCGGGTTTTTCAGAATAAAACAGCTTTTAAACTGACGGTATGTTTTAGACTAAATTATACTATACTATACTATAAAACATTGATTTTAATTTATAACACAGTCTATGGTGTTTTAATGCTGAAGCATTACGGTTGTTGTTATTGTTAAGTATTGCTTTGTGATGGTGCCCTTTACTGCATGTATTAAGGTGCATTACAAACATGACATTCCCACGCTGTGTACGTAAATGTATGCGCTCACAGTGTTGCTCCGTGTTCTTCACTCAAGGCTTCCGACAGTATGTCATTTGACACCCCCCCCCCCCCCCCCCCCCCTCTTTATCGGAACCATGGATAGCCTGCAGCTATTTGTCTACGTGTTTAAAAAAGAACCAGAAGCTTATATATAAACATCTAAGTTGTTCGTGCCCCACCACTTTTGTACATATAAAAACGCCACTGCATGAACGTGATGAATATTTAAGTGATAAACCTACACATCACTATGTTTTCCAATCTGATGATTAACCTTCTTGCACTTCATTTGTATTTCCGACAGCTTCCTGAAAGCAGCACATTGTGGTCGCTCATTGGTCCATCCCTTTCTCCTCTCTGCGAGACGTTCACTGACACACCCGCACCGTGCCGTGAGCTGCGGACAGACAGACTGACGGCACCGTGAGGTAAGTGTGACGGGTAAGGCTACATATATTCTGACATGGGTAGGGTGCGGCTACAGAGCCACAGTGTTCTTAAAAGCCCAACATAAAAAGCGGTGGGACTCCTTTCAGACATCTTGTTTTCTTTGCGTACAAGAAGCTCTGTTGGTGAGGCGTTTACATCCCACTGCTGTGTGACTGGAATGTATGCAGGAATCACAGCAGAATGATCCCAAAAATCATGGACTACACAGTTATTGGAAACACAATTGTATAATCAGATATTTACATGTTCTCGTGATTTTTGCTTTTATTTTCGAACCTCATGTAGCCTACAATTGGCGGTGACGCCCCAGCTCTATAGCAGGCTCAACATGTTGGGGTGTTAAATACAGCTGTATAGACTGCATGGTGTGAGTTCGTGTTGAAGCACATCAAGGCGAGGCGTTCCCCTGGAGCGCGCGCTCGGAGCAATTGTTAAATGACGGCTCTCTGTGCGCGCGGCCGCACCTCTCCGCGCTCTCCTCATCACATCAGCGGCATAAAGCTGCACACAAAGAGTGTGTATGGCTGCAGACGGCTCTCTGACGGCTCAAACACACACTGAAACACAGAGGAGAGCAAAGCCCCCCTTTGTTGTGTTTATATGAATACCGCCAGGCCTCACAGGGGTGGGGGCTGCCTGTGAGGCTTTCAGGTACTGTCGAAAATATCAGACAGCAAGGTGTGTTTATCACAGGGACTGAACTCAGGCAGACTTTCCAAAGAAATGTCCAGCCAGTTTTGATTTGAGAAGCAATTAAATGTTTTATTAGCATCCAATCAGTTTTAGCCGTGTAGTGTTTGTTTCACAGACAGAAATTATGTTATGTCATTACATTTGTCAAAAAGTGTACTACTAGGAATATGTCTTTAATGTACACCTTCTAATAATTTGCTGCTCACAAGTTCAGTGCACTAAAATAAGTATCAAGATGTGGTTTGTATGTCATTTGTCAAATTACAAAATCATTTTTCAGTGATCAAACTACCAAGTCTACCACTCCTTCTGCTAAATTAGGATCCAGCACTCCTCAGAATAGAAAGGAAGCAGACAGCTGCAGACTGAGCACACAAACACACACAGACACATTTGAATACTTTATTTGGTTCAGCGGAGCACACTGGTAAATCCACTTCATCCATTGGTTGAGTGCTAGGATGAAGTTCACGGCACTCCAGGGACAGACAGTTTTTATTCCCACCTTCAGTGCAATCGGCTCTGTGAGCTGCTGCCCACAGATAACCTGGAGAAATTAACCTTGGTACACATTGGATACAATATTCACAAAAGGCTGAGGCAGGTGTATTTCCTCTAATGCTTTTAGCATCACCTCATGGGAGAGTGTACCAAACGCGTCTCTAAGGCCCCAGCTCCACGGGAACCCATACGGCAAAACGCATCGGAGTAACGCAAATCCAACCGCAAAAAACCTTCCGCCCACACGCAATATACACCGGATTGTGTCAAGCTCCACGAGACGGCTCCGTTTACATCCAACCGCTGGAAAAGCTGCAGTACATATGCCGAACCTGTACGTGGCGCTGTAACTTCCTCCACAAAAGCAGCAACTTCCTCCACTAAAGCAGCGAAGAAGAATGGTTGTCATGGCTGCACTTCTGTTTATTCTCCGCGGAGGGAACCGCGCAGAGTTTTTCGCCGGTCAATGTGTGTTAAAGTTTAAATCTTCATGCTTCCTCATGCAGCAGCTGATCCAGTAAGTAAACCCGACAGTAAAAATAAACATATTTATAACTAGTTTAGGTAGTTTGAGAGGTAATTAAAATAGCTAAGGGTGGTGATCTGACTTGAAGTGTGTGTTTTGCTGCTTCACAGCCGGAGGAGCTGCGTGTCTCCGTCCTGTCAGATTAGACTTCACTCGCGTTTATGTTCATATCGAGATAAAGATAAATAATCTGAATTCAGTGTGCAGTGTACTTTTGCGGGGGTGAGCAGCAGAGGTGGGGAGAGGCGGGGAGAGGCGGGGCTATGAAACGGATGACTGTATAGGCGACCCCACGGCCCCGTTGGACCCCCGCAGAGCGCTCCGTTCCCAGATCTATCCACCTTTGGACCCGTTGTCGTTTGCGGGGTCTGTTTCTACGTTTCTGTTACGGCGTCGTCGAGCTTAAAGGGCTATACGCATGAGAAATATGCGGATTCAACCCGTTTTCGTCCTCGTGGAGCCTAGGCCTCAAGTCCAAAAACATTGTCTAGAATCTAGATCAGGAGTGCCCAACCGATCGCGGGGAGATTCCCAGTCGATCGCGAGATTCCCAGTCGATCGCGAGATGTGTCTAAAAATAGAACAACAATATTCTGTTTTATCGTTAATGTCCTATAACATAATCTTCCTGTGCCAGAATAATGCACTTGAACGCATCAAAGCTTTGTGATTGGCGTGACCCCATGTGTCGGGGCGTGGCTGGTGGGCAGTGGGCACAAGTTCGCTGATGTTGTCCGTGGCAACAGGAGTGACAGTCCGTCTCATCTGCAATGCGAGCGTGGCTTTATCGAAGAAGGGTCATTTAGGAGCGGCATTTCAAAACAGTGCACAAACGCTACGAGACGGAATTCCCTCCTAATTCTGCCCTACGCTCCCAAAAGGTGAGGGACCTGAGAGGACAGCTAAATGCACAGCAGTCCATTTTCACCAGGCCCAACAACAAGAGCAAGGCTGCTACCATAGCGTCTTATCGTGTCAGTCACGTTCTTGCCAAACACATGAAGTCTTTCAAAGACGGCGAAGTTGTGAAAGAAGCATTCCTGGAGGCTGCCGACGCGCTTTTTGGGGACAGTAAAAATAACAGTAGCATTTCAACAGGTTTTTGATATAATAAAAACTCAAGTTAGATACCGTTATTAATCAGCTGTAAGTTTTAGTTTGTTTGAACTTATTCATTATAATTATTGTACAAAATGGTATAAGAATGCAAACTTTAAGATCTGTTCTGTTTAAATTGATTATAGTCTATTATCAATTCAGGTTAAGAAACTAGTGTTGCTTGCATCCAATTATAAAGGCATTTCTTTTTATACTCTACTAAAATGCAACAAAAAAAGGGTTTGATTCTATTAATTTTGTCTTTTTTATTGCACTTTGGCAGCAGATTCCTGTGTAGCTTCAGATCTGAGTTGTCTTATTATGCCCCTTTCACACCGGCGCTTTTTCAGCTCTGGCTTGGAGCTGGAGCCTGAAAAGTACCGGTTTTTCCTGTTCACACCGCAGCGGCGCCGCCTCATAGCTCCGGAATGCGGTTCACTTCCAGCTCCAAAAAATTGTCGGTCTAGAGGCAAGAGCTTCGGAGCTAGAGGCGGCGTCGCTTACGTCTCTCTTACGTCGAGGCGTGCAGGAAACTAAACCCACCTCCCCTGAACATGGGTCGACTGAAGAGTCTCGTCATGCCTGCCTACAAGCAGTAGCGCTGAGCAAAGTGACTAGAAGGCAACCACACACTTATAAAAAAAAACACACTTTATGAAGTCAGGCAACACTAACCAGGCTTCGTGTGATTCTGTTTCTTTGTACCTTACTTTGACCATCCGTTCACTGTTATTGATCATTGTGGAGAGCAGGCAGACGTTTTGTTTGTTATTATAGCAGCTATCGGATGGAAACAATACATGGGCTGCACAGGTTGTCATGTCCGACTATCACAAGTAGAATCATAATGCAAAATACGCCGGTAAAATGTGCCTGTAGAAAACGGCTTAGCAAGTAGTCAGTTTAGCTTCGGTTGCTATGCTAACATCACCCATGTTATACCAGAGAAACTTTCATAACAGCGTTGTGATGCCAAACAGCGTCAATTCAGACTGACACACATTCACTTAAGGGGAACTGGGGATATGTATCAGCTGCTTGTGTGACAGTCAGACAGTGAATACTTTAGAGCCGTGTGAGCTAACCCGGAGCTAACGGGAGAATAAACTCCCGTGGAAGAGCAGCCAGCACTGCAGCGGTCGGTAAATGCCGCTGAAACACATTAATAAACAATGAACCACGGCACTCTGGAGAAAAGTATAAGGTTGGAGAAGTCGTTATTTAATTTAATCTGGCTTCGTATGATTAAAAGCAACACGATCATCGACCCGACGCAGTCCCCCGTTGTTGTGAGCTCCGTTGGGGAGAAAATCAGCGATGTAAACGGTGACGTCATGACGCAGCAGCGGCAGCTCTGGGCGGTGTGAACAGAGCGGGAGCTGAAAAGGGAAACCGGAGCTGAACCAGAAAAGCTCTAGCTAGGAGCTAGAAAGGGAAAAGCGCTGGTGTGAAAGCCGCATTAGTAAGCCTAATTTATACTTTTGTAGCAACACTATTTTTATATAATGACAAAGAAAGGGTTCAGTCTTTTCTTTTTTTCCTGTATCATATGTGGCAGCACTGTTCAATGTTTCTTGAAAACATTACCCACTGTGGTATGTGACGTGTGAATAAACTCCAACTCTGTATCAACAACACTGTTGTGTAACTTCAGTTAAATACTTGTTTGTGTGTAGATTAGAAAGAGGTAAGATAAAGGATCTGCAGTATTTTATGAAGTATTCATCATACAAAGGTCAGTTTTATACAAGTAGAAGTGTGTATTTACCTGGTAGTAGGCTGTCAGTAATGGCTACGCCTCTCTATTTGGACTGGTAGATCTCGGCAGACTGGCAACTTTAAAAGTAGCTCTCGGTTCAAAAAAGGTTGGGCACCCCTGATCGAGATGATCCATGTTTGAAATCATCTATTCCGGTTTTTAAGCAAAACACATGTTCGTTCATTCCCTGTCTGTTGATATATGCTTTCTGATGGGGGGAGAGAATCACTGTGTCCACCAGCCAGGGTAACATGCGGGTGAGTAGGCACTTCATAAAGACTTTATATATAGTGGGCAATAAACAAACACACACGCACACACACGGGCAATCCACAACTTATTTTCGCTCTGAATTCAGTTTGCCACATCTAACAAAAAAGTAAATGTTATGATTAATGTAACATGTTTTAATGTAACATGTTTTGATTATCGAATCTCAAAAGTAATTTGTAACCAAAATGTGTTTGTATTGTTAGTATCGGGTATATCCCAAGTCTCTTAAATTCCACATCTCCCTCAGTCATGACTCAGAAACCATGCGAAGAGAGAGGAACCTAATAAATGAGTTTTAAGACCAATGAGACGTCCTTTCCTTTGCATGGTCATTTTAAGCAACGTCCGTTTGTGATGACAGCAGAATATGAATATGTATTTATTCCATAGTGTTTTCTATTGTTAAAGGGGGGGGGGGGGGTGAGGCTATATAGCCAAGCACTGCCCTTTATAATGATACATTCAAATGGTGTTAATGTAGTTGTCATGGTCAGTAACCAGGCAACTTAGGCTGCAGCCACACGAGGACGATAACGGTTGTATCTGCTACAGTTCTCTATCAGATAGACGGTTCAGCCACACAAGGCCGACATGGAAACGCAGAAAACGATAACGGGACTCAAAGGCACACAGCACTTGATACAGTCTATTATTTTAGTGCCTGTTTTTGTCTACCTCCTTATTATGCTTACTGATCCCTATCCTGTAGCCCTCATTGGACAGCTGTGTTTACTTTCCTAAACATGGCTAGTCCCATAGCATCATCCATGTGGACTCTAGTTTGTTCATGCTTTTTAGTTTTTTCTGATATGTGCTTTAAGTCACTCACATCTGTCTGGATCCATGCTGGGTCTGGTCCATAGACTGGTCTGATACTGACGTTTGAAAAGGGAGGCAGGGGAAGCTAAATATAGCATTGGTGTTGCTACAGTTAGCCTTCTTGCTAAACCAGCTCCTTGAAAAAGAGCATGTATACTGCCTTCCTCTGTCCTTAAATCCTGCCTATGTCAGGCTGATCAGGTCCGAGCTCTTTTACTCTCAGCTTTACCTCCAGTGTCCTCCTCTCAAAGGGTGTTTCTTTAAGTGATTAAACATCATTTTCCTTCTCCATATTCGCTATCTAGTTTTGTTTACCCTCTGTCTCCGTCTAACTGTCTCTCATTCAAACGTTAATCACTCCCTCTGGCGCTCCTGCAACAGCTGCTTTGGGCGCAGTTTGGTGCGCCCTGAGCTGCTCCTATCTGTTGCATTGAAGAGGTGCAGACTGCGCATGCACCACTTATAACGAGAGTCAATGGGCAAAGATTTCTGCGCCCCAAGCAGGAAACATGTTACTTATCAGTAACTTTAGACACGTAAAACAATTCTAGAATGTGGGAAGAGGTGGGGCGGCCGCCACTGCTGTAATGGCTGTGTGGATGGCAAACTTCAGTACTCAGTGAACACATAAAGGAGGGTCTTTCTACCAACGCAGATGTTTGAAGACTTTTTGTTTTTATTAGCTCCTTAAATTCCAGCAACCTTAAAGTGAACATAAACTAAGTTAGGACTCTGACCGTCCCTCTGTAGTGATAACATTGTGAATTTAGTGTGCTAGTGATTAGTTTGAATGTAATCTCTGGTGTGCACTGTCTGCAGATGATGTGGAGTGTTGTGATGCTGCTGGCCACGGCCCTCGGTGTGGGTGAGTATCATCTCCTGTTCTCTATGAGATCTAATCTAACATCTCTGTTTGGGGTTTGTTTTACACGACAGCTGACCAAGAACATTTCTTTAATGTATATCACATGTGATGCAGCCTTCTTCAGAGAAAGCGCTCTGCAGCTGGTGAACATTATGGAGTGCTTAGCAGCTGTAGATTGCTTGTTGGTTGAGATGAAAACCAGAGCTAAAACAGTGAATATTGGACACAAACAAATTATCATGTTGCTAAAAAATATTGGCATTAAAAATAATCTGGCAGAATGTTCCCATCACAGCATTCTTGTTTGGAGATAGGATTGAATAATTCTTTACAAAATAAATGGTGTAATCATTTTTGCATTTATTACAATTTTGCTATAACATCTCTAGAATGTCTGATAAAGGTCAGTTGAAGCCATATATGACCACCGGTGCCTCCAACAGTAAAGAATTAAAGGAATACACTTTCCAGCAGATCTTTAAAAAAATAAATATTTGAGAGAGGTTGCTATAACTTCTCATGGCTATTTGACAGTATTACATGCTATATTAATAGTATTATATTTCCTTATTGTGAATTATATTCTTTATTTCTCCCCAAATATACAGTATATGTGAGTAGCAAGTATTCTTCCTTTTTTCTCATTGGCCTTTGTGTCAGATTCCTATGCTGTCCATGACCTCCATGAGCGTTTGGCCCATGGCCGCCAGCTGAAGATCTATCTGCCCAAGAGTGCCGAGAAGCTGGAGTTCATCTCAGCTGAGGATCCCCACAAGATGTTTATGTACTGGGAGCATTCCAGACTCAGGTAGGACTCCCTCAGGGACAACCTGGGGTCTGGGTGTGGACACTGGCTCTGTGGAAGTTGATTTATTGTTCTGTCCTCTGCAGGGCCAACAAAGGCAGGGTGTCTGGCACGGGCAGCGACCGACGCTGGTACATCGACAAGGTAACCAAAGTCTTTGTTTAAAGTCTAAATTGAATCATCGAATGTAAAGTCTACATTTTCTTTCAATAAAATGAATTGCTACATTAATTGATTTCCCTTTACCTAGTAACTTTGTCTTTAAGTCTACTTTATTTATTCTTTTACTTATTTTTTTATTTTTGTTGTATAAATACTTTTATTTAAAAAAAAAAAATGTTATCTGTACTTTTTGAAAATCTTCCAATCGTCACATCATATTTCAGTGGTGTGTTTGTTTTTGGCAGGTGACCTATGAGGACGAGGGGACATACATCCAGAGAGACTTCTGGAATAAAGAGATCGCCTCTGTCAAAGTGGCCGTCACAAGTGAGTTAGTCCACCAGCCATGACTGCTACTATCTTTTGTTTCTTTGAAAACATAACTTTAGGGTGAGTGTTAAACACCAGACATACAAATGTCTTCCTGTTGGACTTGGGGTTATGCTAGTCATTCTCATCATTTTAGATGTTATACAAAATGGCAAAATAAATTCCAGAGTATCTCACATCCACTTTCTCTCCTCACCATAGAAAGAAATGGTGATGAGAATATCACATACACCTCTTTCTCCTCCTCCTCACTATAATGAATACTAATGTAGATGCACGGCCTGTAGCTAAACCTGGCTACATTTATGACAGAGACACTCATCAACATCCATAGGGGCAGCATGAAGGTAGGATCGGGTGCAGCAGCTCTTCAGATGATCACCAGTACCCAGCCTGCTCCTCTCTAACAGAAAAAACAGACTCAGGCTAACCTACTAACATGAAATCAGAGAGCGTGCAAGCCAGCAGGGGAGGTAACTATAGAAAAAGAAGTTGGCAATAGACAGTGACTTCAAAAGTATTCAACCCCCTTGAAACGTATCAGAATGATCTGGATTTCAAAGGATACTTGCACACATGTTCCACTCAGTATCAGCTAGAGCCAGTATGGCTGCAGTCTGAAGTGTTTGGTGGGGTATCCAGCAGCCCGGCAGCCTGCTCTCCTCTGCAGATCTGCTCCAGGTGGTTCAGGTTGGATGAATGACGCTCGTGGATCGCAGCTTCAAACAGTGCCACAGATTCAGGACAGAATTGAGATCAATTGACCTGACACATGCAAGCCACTGTATCCATAACACAATATTACACTCTGCGCTACGGATAATATTTGGGGGCACAGTTCTTTGAGTCAAGCATTAGATAGGAATGTAAGCGTATTGCAATTATATTGCTATAGACTTAATCTACAAAACATTTATGCAAACTTTTTTTTGTGCTCAAGATATCCCTTTGCACGCTCAGTTTGTTGTTGTCCTCTGTATTCCAGCCAAACACAACTACGTGAAGCGCGTGGCAGGAGAGAGCCTCATCATCTCCCTGGAGGGCATCGACCTGGCCGACGCCGGCCTCTCCTTCTCTGGGGAGGCTGCCAACGTTACACTGGTGACAATATGGGATAGAAAATGGATGGAATGATGGATAGCTAGATGATGGGTAAAGGATGGGTAGATGGGGGATGGATAGATGGACGAATAATGAAAGAATAGTGAATAGAATAGAGGTGATAACTGGACGGGTCCCTGGTGGATCGCTGTCTGCCTCACACCTCTGTCTCTGTTTCAGTTACACGTGTCAAAGTCAATGGTGAGGTGTGTTAGCTGAACATAAGAAATATTACCTTTCTAAACATGGATTACCTTTTACAAGCTTTTCCGGGGGATTTAGATGTTGGACACCATGGATGACATTTAAAAATATATATATTTTAAAAGCTGTTTAGAAACTGCTGTGGTTCAAGTGTGAATGTAGCTGTGATCCTCCTCAGGTGCGAGATGGTGCTCCAGTCTCCCAGGACCTTCCAAATTATTGGGACCGTGTTCAGACCCACTCCAATAACATCGAGATCAGGAACGTGAACTACAGTGATGAAGGCCACTATACCCTGAGAGACCGCAGGGACCGCATGGTGTCAATCACCAGAATGAACCTGACAGGTTTTTTATTAGAGACACTTCTATTTATGATTCCGTCTGTTTGATGAGTATATTTGGTCATACTTTCGTATGAAGTCTCCTTGTTTTCTAATGATCTTCAGTTCGCCCTGTTACATGTATTTACTGTTCTGATAAAAGCTCAACACTAGTTCATTCCTGTTCATCCATTTCATATTAAAAGCAAAATAGCATTACAGGGGGAACAAATCTGTTCATTTTCTAACTAATTTAACTGTTATGTTATTATTGTAAAACATTTGCTCTTTGTTGTGGAAAATGTAGTGACTTGCACGGCTCCCATATGGTTCATCAAATATTTATAACAGTTGTTGCTGATGATTTTTAGGCCACTGCAACACTGCATTGATAACACACCAACCTCAACAAGCGCTCCAACGCTGCAGGGTCAAGCACACAGCGTTTTATGACCATATGTTTTATTTGACTTCAGCACAAGCTTGAGTTTGGAGCTCTTCATCAGACTGAGGTAAACAATGACCAGCGCCATCACGTACGCTTTGTATCTAAGTGAACAGGGCAGAACCCATTTTTAAGATTTGTTCTCCTCTTGGCTTCAGGTAACACAGTTACGGGAACGAAAACGGGTTGTATCCGCATATTTCTCTTGCGTATAGCCCTTTTTGCCACACAACGCCGTAACGAAACGATAGAAACGGACCCCGCAAACGACAACGGGTCCAAAGGTGGATAGATCTGGGAACGGAGCGCTCTGGGGGGGTCCAACGGCTCTGTGTGATTGCCTCTATACGATCATTTTGTGATAATGATAACTACCTAAACTAGTTATAAATATGTTTATTTGTACTGTCGGGTCACTCATTACTGGATCAGCTGCTGCATGAGACAGACACTGACGCTGTCAGAAGAGAGGAAAAAGAGAGGCTCCGTGTATTTTATTATTATATATATAGTCGTTATTCATTTGTTTTAAAGCTCAATAACAAAGAAGACCTTTGACCGGCACTTTTATAATTTTGTCCGGAAGATTTCAACTTTAACACACGTTGACCGGCGAAAAACTCTGCCCGGTTCCCTCGGCCCCCACCAAGGAGAATAAACAGAAGTGCAGCCATGACAACCATTCTTCTTCGCTGCTTTTGTGGAGGAAGTTACAGCGCCACGTACAGGCTCGGCATATGTACTGCAGCTTTTCCAGTGGTTGGAGCTAAACAGAGCTGTCTCGTGTGGACAGACACTTTCCGGTGTATATTGCGTGTGGACGGAAGCTTTTTGGCGATTGCGTTTGCGTTAATACTATGCGTTTTGTCGTATGCGTTCCCGTGGGGCCGGGGCCTAAGATACCCCTGTAACACGTCCTACACCTGCGCTAGGTACAATCCCAATCACACACACACACACACACACACACACACACACACAGACACACAGTGAGGCTGACCACCCCCCCCCCCCCCCCCCCCCCCCCCCCCCCCCCCCCCCCTCTTGTGTCCCCCACAGATCACCATAATGGCACAGAGGGAAACCCCCTCCTGGCTCTGCTCTTGCTGCTGGGCATCCCGGCTGGGATCTGCTGCTGCTGTCGGAAAAATATTTTTAAGAAGAAAGCCCCCCACGCTACAATGCTGCAGGTACTGCATCTGGAGAAAGTTTGACTCTTTTTTTTAATCTGTTCCTGCAATATGACATTCGACAAGACTGACTGTTATTTAATCTGAGAATTTTTTTACAAATGATCAGTTATCGAAATAATTATTAGTCACAGCCCAAAACAATTGAATTGCCTCAACTTTTGTCTCTCTCTCCAGAACTCCCCACATGTAATTCACCCCCCCCCCTGTGGTCCTGTTGGACCTGCTCCCCCATACAACACTCCAGGACAGCCAGGCGTGGTGAGACTCTAAAGAGCTGATGGCTGCTCTTTCTTCACAAACAGGTCTTCATATAGTTGGCTGTGTATTGCACAGTTGCGCATCGTGATGTGTGGTGTTGTGTTTGTGTGTTCACAGGTGTACTACCACGGGCCGGACCCCAGCATGGTACTGACACATCAATCACCACACACTTCACCCATTTACATGATCATTATGAAACTTCTCTGGTGTAGTGATTGTGCAATGCTCATTAAAGGCAAGTGTGCTTGTTTCTTGTGTATTAGGGTCCTGCAGTCCATCCTCCCCCCGGCCCAGGGCAGTGGAACGGCCCCCCCCCCCTCTCCTGTTAGTATCACACTACAAGCGTGCTTACCTAAGTTTCCATGAATGTGATTAGCCCAGCCAAGTGCTCTGACAGCACTAAACCCACACAGCTCTATGCACAGTCACCTTATTCAATACTGATTCTTGTTTTAGCTAGTTCTCTGTTATTATAGACTCTCTAGATTCTCTGTGATCCTGCCCCCTCCCTCACTGTTTTCTAATCTAACTCCTTTTCTTTGGTCTGCAGGGATTCAACCCGGGGTACCCAGGCCACCCCCCCCAGAACCCTTCCTATCCTCCTGCTGGTCCAGCTATGTTTCCCCCTGCCCAGCCTCCACAATGGAACGGTTCACCACCAGGCCACCCCCCCCAGAACCCTTCCTATCCTCCTGCTGGTCCAGCTATGTTTCCCTCTGCCCAGCCTCCACAATGGAATGCTTCACCACCAGGCCAGTACCCCCCTGGACCTGCAGCCCAAATGGTACCAGTTCTTGTTTGACATCATTCAAACACATTTACTAATGCTATAGCCGAATTACACAAATTGGAAAAGAGTTCACAATGTTGTCAAAAGTAAACAAATCTCCTGCAAATTGAAATGACAAATGCCGGTTCTCTCCACCTGTGTGCAGGGCTATGCTTCAGCTCCAGCCATGTACAGTGCTCCACCTGCAGCCGCCAGTGAGCATGCTCGGGAGGAGGTGAAGACCAGCAGCATGGCAGCCTCCCCCGCTGACCCCCTGCTGACTGCCCCATCACAGGTACACACACACACACACACACACACACACACACACACACACACACACACACACACACACACACACACACACACACACACACACACACACACACACACACACCACACACACACACACACACACACACACACACACACACACACACACACACACACACACACACACACACACACACACACACACACACACACACAGTGGAAGTGCTCCTTCCACTGCTAACCTCTAATTTAAGTTTCAGATAAGATTTGTTTTTGTTCTCCATCACCTATATAGAACCCTTTATGATGGGTTTTTACAGTTTTTTCTACAACTGGTAACAACTTCTTCAATACTATTGTGGATCCCATTTTGACACAAAATGCATTCAATGACCACCTCTCTTAGGCTGGTGCCCCACGGGAACGAAAACGGGTTGTATCCGCATATTTCTCTTGCGTATAGCCCTTTATGCCACACGAGGCCGTAACTAAACGATAGAAACGGACCCTGCAAACGACAACGGGTCCAAAGGTGGATAGATCTGGGAACGGAGCGCTCTGGGGGGGTCCAACGGCTCTGTGTGATCGCCTCTATACGATCATTTTGTGATAATGATGACGCAATAGCCCCGCCTCTCCCCATCTCTGCTGCTCACCCCCGCAAAAGTACACTGCACACTGAATTCAGATTATTTATCTTTCTCTCGATATGGACATAAACGCGAGTGAAGTCTAATCTGACAGGACGGAGACACGCAGCTCCTCCGGCTGTGATGCAGCGGGAGCAAAACACACACTTCAAGTCAGATCATCACCCTTAGCTATTTTAATGACCTCTCAAACTAAACTAGTTATAAATATGTTTATTTTTACTGTCGGGTCATCATTACTGGATCAGCTGCTGCATGAGACAGACACTGACGCTGTCAGAAGAGAGGAAAAAGAGACAGCCTCCGTGTATTTTATTATTATTATATATATAGTCGTTATTCATTTGTTTTAAAGCTCAATAAATAACAAAGAAGACCTTTGACCGGCACTTTTATAATTTTGTCCGGAAGATTTAAACTTTAACACACGTTGACCGGCGAAAAACTCTGCCCGGTTCCCTCGGCCCCCACCGCGGAGAATAAACAGAAGTGCAGCCATGACAACCATTCTTCTTTGCTGCTTTTGTGGAGGAAGTTACAGCGCCACGTACAGGCTCGGCATATGTACTGCAGCTTTTCCAGCGGTTGGATGTAAACGGAGCTGTCTCGTGTGGACAGACACTATCCGGTGTATATTGCGTGTGGACGGAAGCTTTTTGGCGATTGCGATTGCGTTAATCCTATGCGTTTTGCCGTATGCGTTCCCGTGGGGCACCAGCCTGAATATTCATTTAGGGCTGTCGTTCTCAAACTCCCCATGTGCATATGTGACGCTCATTACATGGGAAAACATATTGTGCACTATAGAATACAGTGAAGAGAAGGACTGAACTACTGGGCAGAATAGTTGCAAAAAATAAAAACATGTTTGACACCTGCAGAGCACGTGTCAAACATGTTGCTAAACATGATCATGTGTCTAAATGACTAAAACACGGAGCCTAGAGTCCCATGAAGGCCCCCTCCCTCAGCAGAAAAGGCCAGTTTTAGCCAATTGTGCTTCTTACATTAACAAGCCATCCATCTGTTAAGTGAAGTATGCCGTTTAGTGGCGTATTGGTGCTGCTGCTGTGATAACAGCATCACACATGTTTTAGATTTATCTTCTGGAGGGACCTTCCAAAAAAGCTGTCTTCAGGGCAGGAAGAAGCTTCTTCAGTCTTTGTAACAAAGAGCAGCGTCTGGTGGTCTAGCGGTTGATAGCTCTTCACCTCATTGCATGTCTATGTATATATGTATAATGCCACTTTTCCAATAAAAGACAAATATTATGACACATTTCATTTCCACCCTCCAGTCGGAAGCTGCGTCCTCTCCTATGGCTCCTGTGGCCCCCTCCTCCACCAACATCCTAAGTTCTGCTGATGACGCCTTCCAGTTCAAGATTGAAGGAGACAAAAACTCCACAAGCTTCCTTTAGGGTGGAGCAGCCTCCTCACTTTGTTCTTACAGGTGGAAACAATGGAGAGTAGATTATATTCTTTGTCTCCTTGATCCATATTTAATCCCATCTCCCTGAGGATCAAGTGTTTCTAGGCTAAATGAGCAATCATTTTTGGAATAAGATCTACTGACTCTTTTGCAGTGGGAGTCCATTATGTGGAGATGTAATTTCCAGAGTTGAGACAAAGAAAGGATTTTGTTTCTTGAAAAGTAAGCATAGGGAATAGAAGTGTATTTTGATCATTTGATGAGTAAATCTAAACAGCTGGGTTCAAGTTAAAAATATGTCTTGTGTTTTTATCTACATTTTATTAATTCCAGCCCTTTTACTTTTTGTATTAATCCTTTTTTCTGTTGTTGATTTGAGAGGAAGCCAAGCAATCAAGCAAAAATACTTGAGAGGAAGTCGAAAGAGTCAGAGCCAGAATCAACAAAAGAAAAGCAAGCAGCCAACCATTGGCTGCCAACCATTGGCTGCCAACCATTGGCTGCCAACCCCTCAACAGTAACTCCTCCCAGACTGCCCGATATGAGAAATGCTTCACTGGCAAATAAGTTGCCTTGGGGTGTGTTCAGACTAATGACAAAGACAATGATTCTTTTTTATTTTACCATGAATTTGGAAATGTTTTCAGTCTGTGATTTTGGCAGTCTATGAGAGGATAAGACACTGACTGTCAGGGCCGGCCCTAGACTTTTGGGGGCCCTAAGCGAGCTTTGGCTTGGGGGCCCCCCTCACTCTAGTGCGTTCTCACTACACACAACACGGAACCAACTTTTGTCTTATGATGTTAGCATAAGCACACATATGTATAAATAAGCATGTAAACACTGTGGACCTAACCTCTTCTAGCGGGGTCCTCACCTCCTCTAAGGGGGTCCTCACCTCCTCTAGGGGGGTCCGGGGGCATGCTCCCCCGGGAAGATTGTTTTTAAAATATTGAAGTTAAAAGCATCAATCTGGTGCACTTTGAGAGCAAAATTAAGAGATCTATGGATACATCTCTCAACACCCATATGAAACAGAACTGTAAGCAGATTTTTCTTTATGGATATTTTACAAATCACTTAAACTGTATTCTTGTTTTGTCATATAGTATTTCATAACTGTTTTTCATTTATTCTCTCTGGCTGTCCATCTCATAATGTTCACATAGAAACTAGCTCTTAATAGGAATATCATTCAGAAGAATTATAATTTCTTGCAAAAATCTGTCACAAAAAGAGGTTGCACATTTAAATTCAGGTGTTGTTATGGCAACGTCAGTGGTCACATTTACTGCTGCAAATACGTTCAAACATGCTGTCGACACGTAAAGCAGTGGCAACTATGCCACCATTTCAGCTGACTTTTTCTCAGAAATACTGTCACATAACATCCATATATTTCAGTGCTAGGTTGATGCTTAGCTAAGCTAACTATGAAACACTTTAACTGACAGGACTCAGGATCAACTGTGTACTGTAAGGTAGCTTCTAGCTTCATGTCGAACAGTAAGTCAACATTTTCCAGAGAGCTTTCTTTGAAATCACCAGGTAACGCTAAAAAACATTACATTTAGATTGTATGACAAAGTGTTAATTTAATATATCTGGCTAGCTATAGCTACTTGCTAACGGTTTAGCTTACCCCCGCGATTCAAAGTAACGTCAACGTAGCTGTAATTTATGCTTTGCTTACATGTTCACATAACTTGGAAGTTTACTGACATTTACATACCTTGTTTACCTGGCTCAAGTGGTGGCTCTGGGGTTGTTGTGTGAGCCACCACTTGAGAATTCTCGTCTTTTTTAAGAAAACATTTTCTTATGTCCATCTTCAAAAACTCTGAGTCCGACTGACAGTTTAAACATTGTCACAGCTCACAGGATAGGTACCTGTCAGCCAATAAGACAGATGTTTATTTCCATTCAACTCTCTGGTTGGTCTGGTGTCTTGCCTCTGTTGCATTCACTGAACACGGGAAATTACAATCCTGCCGTCCTCTCTAGTGTCATGATGAGGTTCAGGTAAAGCACGGTTAATGTATTATATTATTGACTCAATAATATAATACATGACTTTGAGAGTAGGCAATCTAGGCATATTAACAAAATTAATTAAATATACTTATCACGGCGACTGTGTACTCAGTTTTTTTTTCATTTTGTTTTGTTGTTGCTAGGGTCCCCTTAGTGGCTGCGGGGCCCTAAGCGGCCGCTTATGTCGCTTAATGGGTCGGGCCGGCTCTGCTGACTGTAAAGGTGTGTAATATATCAAACTAATGTAAGTGTCACATTCTGAACACACCTTTGGGTAACATTACTTCTTCAACAGTGAATCACCATCTCAGGTTGGCTTACGTTTCAGTGTCATTTAAGACTCTTTCTTGATGGCAGATCATATGAAACCCACATTAAGGTCCTTTGTATGTCAGGAGCATCCACTGTCTGGAGGCAGGTCGGGGTCTCTAGTCAAGCACTACCAGTTGGGTTATGCTTGGGCGGGTCTGATTTCAGAAGTTCACTCGGATACTGACTTAACTGGAAGAACCGTTTTGAAATTGATAAACCAAAATCTACCTCATGTTTAGATTCTATGCCTCTTCATATGTCAACAGTTGTGTTTGTATTAGTCAATGCTATGATTGTGTAAAGAAAAATTGGTAATGGGTTTGGTGTAAGTACTCGGAACTAAAATGTTAGAATTGTACCCGAAGAACCACTCTGACTGCCTTTTAGCGTGGCCTCATACCTCCTGACTATTACAGCAAAAAAGCATATCACTCCATCCAGAGCACGTGTCCTAGACTTTATCACCAAACCAAGGAGCTGCATTAAGCTAGACAGTGCAGCGTAATCTTTGTCAGCTGCTGAGTCTGCCATGAACATTTAAGAATACACGCACATTGATTTTTACAGACTAAGTGCCACCACACCAATATGCTTTGAGCTGTGGTACTTTGTTACTCTTTCATATAAGATCACTAAACAGTAGCTGGACGTTCCCATCCCTCCTGATATCCAGATGGAGGCAGCAACATTCCTATATATCTAAAATGTTCACCAAAAATACACTAACAGGTGTTCATTTAACTGTAAATAGCATCAATAATGCCTTTCTTAACAGGATTGTAGTCTTTCATTTTGTCTCTGAAGGTGAGTTGACGGGTATGACCTTAGATTCATGTTGTGTCCTGCATATGGTGGGGAGACAGCTAGCTAGTTAAACACTAGTTAAACTGAACAGCCAACTAAGGTCTGTTTTTTTTTTTATCTTTGTGTTCTAAATCCTTTTTTTTGTTTCATGTATGGCAACCTCAAAATGAACTGTGGTTGAACATAGTTTTTTTGTTGTTGTAAATGTATTCAATGATACTAACTAAGTGTACATGTATTTGATGCTTGGGTATTGTAGAGTTGGAGACACCATCTACTGGCTTCCTATGGTTGGTTCTTTGGTCTCTCCAGTTTCATCCCCCTATGGATACCATTGAACATTTGGATTCATACCTCTCATTTTATACCAAAAAGTAAAATATACACACTGTATATGGATGTGCAACTCTGTGTCAATGAAACTACGCATGCATATGAGATTCTGGAGTGTGTTTCATTTCAAAATCACAATTAAAATGATTGTACAGGAGACAGTTAGACAGAGAGCTGAAGATTATGACTTGATATGACCCATTGGGAAATAACTGTATAATAGAGGATGGGTGAATTGAGAGACACTGTCCTGCTCTGCTGCTCAATCCTATATTCAGAAGGCAGCATTTTCTGTTTGGATTCACCATCAGTGCTATAACTCTTCACTCTACACATTTCATTACATGTAATTTGTTAGACACTTTTATCCAAAGCAACTTACATACATTCAGTACTGTGGGCAATCCCCACAGGAGCAATTAGGGGTGAAGTGTCTCAGGGACACAACGACATGCTGACTGCAGTGGGACTCGAACTTGCTACCCCCTGATTCAAAGTCCAGCACTCTATCCACTTAGCCACAGCCACCCCAGACTTCATCAGATAACAGCTTTGACATCATCCCATTACACAGTGATTTGCCTGCTGCAGGTAGCTGGTTTAGGTGGGGTAGGTAGTCTAGGTTTGAACCTCTGTTTAACTCTTTTTACACTCGACAGAACAAGTGGTTGTGCCACCTCAGTAGCAAGGACCATGCCACAGTGATCCTTAGACGTTTGATGAGATGAAGAGTATTAGATATTGATGATGGATGGGAGGATAAGAATGGATGTGGGGAAAAAATGTGTCAGTTTAAGCAGGGTGCATGGTTTTATTTTTCCTGGCATTGGCTTTAACTCTGAAAACTAAAAAGAACACACAACTTTTTAGAATGGATCCTTACATTTCCACAGCTAGTACATTCAGACAACACAGAAACCTACAACAGTCAAAGTACTCCACTACAGTTTGTACATGGAGCCAAATACTACTTAGATACAACATTCATGTCCCATGTCATAGTTTTCCCAAACTAACAGCAGAACTTCCTGTGGTTTCAACCACTTGATGTAGAACCAGTTATTTCTGGTTCCCTATGAGGACTATGTCATTCACTTTCAGGTTGTTCAAAATTGTTAAACAGTGCAAAAGGGCCGAGCTGTTTGAGGTAAACTCGCTGGCAGTGGATAGGCTGCGTAGATTCAGTGTACTGTGTACTGAATACTGAGTGGAACTGAACAGTGTGCTCGCTCTGACTGGCTTCATTCAGGCAGCTCGTATAAACACATGCATGAGCAAAAAAAACATTGATCACCTACAACTGGGGTAAGAAAGAAAGACGGCAACAGAATGATGTTTAGACAGAGCTGGGAGAGACTCTGTTACAAGTAAAAGTCCTGCATTCAAAAAGTAGAAAAGTGTTAGCATTAAAATATAGTTAAAGTAGCGACAGTAAAAGTAGTCATTGTGCAGATCGGTCCATTTCAGAATAATGTATATGATATGTTTTATAATGATTGATCATGAAAGTGTTCTCAAAGCTGGTAAAGGTGCAGCTAGTTTGAATGACTTTGTATACTGCAGGGTAGCTTGTGAATTTACTCCAGGTGGAACTAAAGTCTGATTTAACACTTGATTAGATTTCACATCATTCATCCACATCTGTGAAGTAACTAAAGGTATTAAATACATGTAGTAAAAGTACATCATTTACCTCTGAATTGAGCAGCACGTCCTCTCAGGACAGTTATTCTGCCCCCATTCATGTTTTCAGGTTGTCAATCAGTCTGTCCCACTCTGTCGCCGTGTCTCAGGACCGATCTGCAAATTTAAAACAAACGTCCACTTGATGAACAGATGAGATAAAACGAATGATTACATTTCAATTCAACCAGTGGTCCTGGTGTTACTTTAGACAGAACTTTACCTAATGAAATATATATTTAACATACATATGTATACACAGTATATGGTGCTATGCAATATTAAATACAGCACAAATCAATTTTATAAATGTTTGTATGCAAGTGTTTATTATTTATTACATTGAGATTTTTGACGAGGAAGGATCTTTTTCAGTTTGCTCAGACAATATTAGAACACGGCTGCTGTTCGGATGACCATTCTGAAAGAATTCTGGAGCTATCTTCAAACAGTCTGTTTTGCAAAGCACTACAACTGAAGGTAATATACCCTCTGCTGCAGTTCTGCACATACTCCAGATCGACTATTTTCTGATCGCATCTTCATGATAAAAGAACATTGATTGAATGCTGCACACATACATCTGAGTGTAAAGGTACCTGGCTTTGTTTTCCACTGGAAGGCTTTTTTTTTTTTTAAAAAGGTAATATTTTCCCCAAAGACATTTTTATACAAGAGTTTAACAGTGATATTTGGAATCTGTTCATCTGAAGGCACAATATTACTGAGAACAAATGACACACACACTCCACAATCACTGAGCTGCTGATCACTGAGCTCACTAAAAGGAAGGGTAATGCTGGTACATGAGCAACACTGAAGGCATGGATCTATCCTCTGTATCAGTCTGCATCAGAAAAAGAATAGAACCAACCAGAATGTTCTCTCATTATGAGAAATGCTAGAAAGGTCTTCATCTAAATGAAAGTATAAAGTATATTACTATATATTTACGTTGATAACAGTGTTTGGAATATTTGTTTAAAGCTCACTCATTAGCTTTCTTTCCAAGAGTGGGATAAAAACGTTGATATCATTTCCAGGCACATGTGAAGAGTATCCGTCTTCTCCTCTCACTCCTGAATTGGGATGAAACATGGTAACATTGAACATAAAGGCTGTGGCACACTGTTTGGAGAAACAGTAAACAAAAAAACTAGACTAAGAAATGTCCACTCCCTGGAATGATTAAGTAATCAAATCGTGTCAGTAACAAATCATATCAAAAATGTCTGCCCTGAATGTCCAGAAGACACCAGTCTGTACATGTGGCATTGGACTTCTGCCCGTCCCCTTTTCACTCCTCCGTCCTCCTCCACCTCTCCATCTCTCTCAGCCGTCTCTCCAGGGTCTTCACCTGCTCCTCCAGGTGAGCGGTCTTATCGACTGCCGTGGATCTCTGCAGAGAGCCGACCCCAAGCAGCACACACACACACACCAGCACAGCCAGCCGGACCACCATGGTGTGTGTGCCCACACTGTGGTCCCTCAGGATCAGCCCGAAACACACCAGAGCCACGCCCACTTTCAGCAGCCACATAGCCCGCCTCAGAGTGGAGGCAACCAATCGGAAGACGAAAGAGATCAGCGAGTAGCCAATGAGAGCCACGATCACCCACTGGGCAACAAAGCTCACCCCCTCTGGGCTCACTCTGCTGATGGGGAACTCAGCTGAGAATAAACAGGAGCACAAGGACAGCAAGGTATGCGGTCAGTATCATGCTGCAAACACTTATATACTATCCTCCATGAAGAAAAGGAAAATCTATTTATCCAAACTACCACAACTACCAGGATCCATGTTCAGTTAAAAAAATGCACTTAATGTTTAACCAAACCAAAAACATTCATTTTTAATACGCTAACATAAGACTGCGACCAACTATTATTTTTATTATCAGCCAATTGGCCCATTATTTCCTTGATTAATTCTTTGGTTTATGGAATGTCAGTCCAGAGGGACACCTTTAAATGTGACAGGTTGATTTATTACAACAAGAGACCAAAAAGAGCAAATCTTCACTTTTGAGATGTTGGAAGCAGCAAACTTGGTTATTCCTGGTTTTTCCAGCAACTAATCATTTCAGCTCTTCAATAAGAGTTATTAACAATATTACCCTTGTTTATGTTTTTCTGAGTGAATGTTATTTATACTATGAATCAAAAATGTAACACAGGTCAGTTTCTAATCTGACTTCTTTTAGAGATGAAGCTTTAAGACTGAGACTGATGTCATCCGCAGTCCGAGTCATGCAGGATTGAGTTTTAGCCTAAATCAGTATTTCAGTTACCCCCCTTTAGCTTAGCGGTGGTGATGTCATGTGACCATGATGTAGATCCTTACTTCTAGCGATTGTATTTAGGCTATTTGAAAAGTGGTGTAAATATGTGGCGATTATCCTGCTAAGTATCTTAACGTGTGTTAGCCCCTGATCTTATTCTCTGTGATACTCAGAATCAGAAATCCTTTATATGTCCCACAGAGGGGAAATGTAAGATCCCATTGCCTTTGTCGGAGGGCTTCTGATGCTAACCTCCGGCTCGGCCTACAGGAAACTCTGATCACTACACCACTTTCTACCTGCGATGGACAGTAGCTGATGTGAGGGGTGTCTACCTTGGATTCCAGCAGCCTGCAGGAAGTGTGACGCATACTGTAGGAGAACGTTCAGACCCCCGGACAAACTTCCTGCCACAACACCCAGGACCTGAGAGAAAGCCTGGAACAGGAGACATGCCTAAGATCAGTGGTGGAAAAAGTGCTCAGATTTTTTTTTCTTCAGACCTTTACTTGAGTAAATATACTAATATCACCATGTAAACACACTCAATTTCAAGTTAAAGTACTGCATTGCAGAAAAAACTCTTAAAAACATTAAAACAATTTAAAAGCAAAGCTGCTAATCTGCACATTCCAGAAGCTGGAAATTGGAAATATGTTTAACAGATAACTTCTTAGCAAGATTGATGCAAATTCATTTTCTTTTACATCATTTTTGGGTGGTTTAATCCATACCAAATCATCATATTTAAAAGTATTGTGTGTCAAAATCTCCATTTTAAAGTAACTAGTAAAACATTATGTAAAACAAATGTAGTGGAGTAGAAACTAAAAAATTGGCTTTCAACATGTTGTGGAGAAGAAGTATAAAGTAGTTTAAAATTAAAATACTCGGGTAAAGTACCTCAAAAGTGAGCTTAAGTACAGTATCAGTTTTGCACTGCACCAATGGAACCCGGAAGTAACCTACACTTTGTGTGACCGTGTTACAGCTGATGTTAAACTGTCCACAGATAATTAAACATTATTTTGCCATGTTGTAGCGGACATTGCCCTGTGTTCCCGGGCTAAGCACGCTAACATCACCTTGTGCACCGACAGCAGCGTCTGCTCCCCGGCCAGCCTGCCCAGGTAGCTCCTTCCCTCTCCGGCTAGCTCAGCTAGGGCCTCCCGCAGATCCTGGATCATCCCGGGGCTCTCTAACACCTTCTCCCCCGACACAGGGTTAGACAGCCACAGGGCGCTGAGCACACACAGCCCATAGACAGCTGTTTGATATGAATAAGCGAACATATTGAAAGCGGGTAAAATCAATTTAGAAGCAGCCTAAGGCACATTCAGCCTACAGGTAAACAGCACCGGAGGCTTCACAGGATGTGGAAAAACGAATAAAAAGAGATGAGTGCCCCCCACTGGGCTGAGGGGGCAACACGTTTCCATTACGGCTTTACTTTTCCTCCCCCATAACACCAACCCTGTAGGCTTGTTTGAGATGAGCTGCGTCTCGCCTCGAAAGTAGACGAGAATATTGATTGATTGATTGAAAAGTTTATTAACAGCTTGTATATTGGGTACAGTACAGTACAGCTCAAAACATACAATTGTTAAGGGGATGCAGACCAGAGAAAGACTTTCGTCTTATTTACATCAGGGTCCCCCATTTCCAATTCATCATATCATTTAAGACATATAAGACATATTTGACATACAGATGGCTTATTTACAATTTACATACAGGTGGTTTTTTACATACAGATGGCTTATTTACAATTTTCATTTTAGATTTCGTTCCAATACATCCTAACCGGACATTTAAGACATACCAAGTCTACAGATATACAGTTAGTAACAGAGTCTAAAATGCGAGTATATACATAGATGGGGGGGGGAAGCTGTCCATTGTACGACAGGTTGAGATTTGTACCATTACCGGGGCCAGTTTTGCAATGCTCTCCCCCTAAGGTGCTCTTTAAGAGAGGTTTTGAAGGTAAGTATAGTTTTACTTTCCTTTACAGTTGTGGGAAGAGCGTTCCACCTTGATGTGGCATAATTGCGAAACGTGTATTCCCCCTTTTTTGTGCCAAATCTGGGTTTTACATGATTTGTGGAGCTCCCTCTGGTGTTATGATCATGGTATTCCTTGACCTTTGGGAAGAATTTTGCAATGTACATGGGTACCATAGAGGTGTAGTGGATCTTGTAGACCAGGCCCATTGCAAGTAGCTGTACTCTGTCGTCTACTCTAAGCCATCCTAGGTTGTCAAAGTGGGCAGAGGTGAGGTGGGTTCTAGATGAAAGGTCAAGCAGTAGTCTGACCAATTTATTTTGCGATGTTTGAAGTTTTATTTTTAGCGCCTTGGAGGTGCTATGGTACCATGACGTGCAAGCATAGTCATAGTACCCTTGAATGAGTGCTCCTGCCAGAGTTTTCAGGGTGTTTTTGTTTACCAGAGAGGAGATCCGGTATAGGAATCTAGTTCTTTGATTGACTTTTTTTATTACATTGGATGCCATTTTGTCACAGGAGAGGTTTGCCTCAAGAATAGATCCTAGGTATTTAATTTCCTTCTTACTAGTGACAATAATGTCACCCACTGCAACTGAGAAGTCGTTGGATTTGAATAGCTGATTGCAGCCGGGGGAGGTCTCAAAAAGCTTGTCTGAAGTCGGACAGCTCGGACTCGGCTTGACTCGGTTTGCAAAGGCGGAAATTGCGCTGGCGTTCTTTGTTGCAGATGAAGTGGATGCAATAGAAATCCCACAATTATTATATCACTACAAATGAATGACTCAAGTGTCTGTTCATTTCTAAACAAAATAATACAAGGGGGGTTGAATCCTACATGTAAAAGACAGAACCACTTAGGCCTATTACTTTTCAAAACTACTTCCGTCAAAGGTCTTGACCAGTTTGCATTTATAAAGAATGCACACATGTGTTTAATCGTTAATGTCAGATGTACTAAGTAAATACATTTGTTCCTGCTCAAGATTAGATTCAACTTTATTGTTATTGCACAGATTACAGGTACTGAGACAACGAAATGCAGTTTAGCTTCTAACCAGGAGTGCAAAAAAAACACATACAAAGTGGCATCACAATGGACTCCAGTGAACTCTAGAGAGGCGAAGGCTATGGAGCTAATTTCCTGCCATAACTCCACAAACAAACTAAACAGGTTTTACAAATGCCTCATGATTCACTAACAAACACAATGTAGTTTGCAAATACAAAACACCATCTACAAACTAATGGATTTAGTTTTGCAAAGAAAAAACGTATCTATCAAACAAACACATAACATTTGTCTAATAAATCATGTTTCAGAGACAAATTCAGCATAGGTTTTACAAGTACACAACTTTTTTTTACAAGTAGCCTACACAACTTTTTTTTACAACCTACAAAACTTTTTCTTCTCACAGCGGAATATTACTGCCAAAAGTGACGTGACTCACTCACGTGACTTTTGGCAGTAATATTCCGCCGTGGCTGGCTCATACCCGGGGTCCTTCTCAGGTCGATTACATGGAATCCTTGCATCCCTCACTTGCGTCGTTTCCCTGCGTTTAGTCCCTCCCACCAGGGAAGCATGGAGAGATGCAAGGAAACCACGAGAAGCAGGGAAATGAGTTTTAAGAGCAATGGGACGTCCTTTCCTCCGGAGCGTCACGTGAGGCGACGTCCGTTTGTGATGACGCCGCACAGCTGTTCGTCTGACAGCAGCTCTGTCCCCGTTATTTTCACAAACACCCCCGCCTCTGTTAGTACACATTTACTGACACAAACATTTGTATCATCTGTTGTAGACCCAAATACATTAAATTAAATAAGAACTCATTCTCAAAAAAGATAAACGCTATTCTTAAAATGTATAAACGAACAATAGTTGGATTAATATTGATTAGAGTGCACAATAGAAATAAAATAATTGAGAGAAGAAAAAGAGATATGTTATCTATCAAAACCCAGTTAGATTAACATTCATTGGACTGCACACTTTGTTTGTTTGTGTGGATATGTAGCACATTAACATTTTAACAATCATGTCAAGAAGCATCAGATCAGTGCATGCACTGCATCGTCCAATCAGTGAGCGATACACAGTAAGGGGGCGGGGCGAGTGTCTGAGGATTTCATCGGAGGATGGTCTGGTGGTTCCTCGGTTATCGCTCCTCCATTATCGCTCCTCGCTCCTCGATCCTCAATCCTCGGTCCTCGGTCCTCCTTCAGAAATAAGAGCCATGGGACGCTACTCAAGATGGCGCAGATAAATCAACTTCCGGTGATACCGAGGACCGACGACCGAGGAAATTAAAATAGTCGACCTGAGAAGGACCCCCAGGCTGCGTTTTACTTCTCTTATTTTTCATTTCCTCGCTCCTCGGTCTCACCGGAAGTTGATTTGTCTGCGCCATCTTGAGTAGCGTCCCAATGGCCTTATTTTTGCCGGAGGAGCGAGGATCGAGGAGCGAGGAGCGATAATGGAGGAGCTATAATCGAGGAACCACCAGACCATCCTTCGATGAAATCCTCAGACACTCGCCCCGCCCCCTTACTGTGTATCGCTCACTGATTGGACGATGCAGAGCATGCACTGATCTGATGCTTCTTGACATGAGAGCAGAGTTTCCCAGCGGAGTGAAGAAAACACATGAAACTCATGGGACTCACTCCTCAGTTTATACTGTGTTTTGTTTCAATTAATGCATCATTCAGTTACAAAATATGATATATCTGAACAACAAAGTGGTGAAAAATTATTTTATTCATTTATTGGAAACATTTTCATGATCGCTTTTTTCGTTTGACATTTTCATTTATTGTCATTTCCATTCAGTCAGTGCTATTTAAAATGTTAATTTGCTACATATCCACACAAACAAACTAAGTGTGCAATCCAATGAATGTTAATCTAACTGGGTTTTGATAGATAACATATCTCTTTTTCTTCTCTCAATTATTTAGTGAGAATGCTGATACAGCATTCCAACTATATGTTATGCTACGGACGAAAAGTTTATTATTATTATTCCGTCCAATTATTTTGTCCGTCTTCTCCTCCCACATTCAACATCGCAGAAACTCCGTTCAAACATCAAAACGTTCAGCTCGGTCAGGAATCGACTGCTATTACTTTTATCATTCATAACTTTCATAATTCCAGAGATACATCCCATAATACATCACATTTTTAACCATTGAAGTCAATGGAGAAATTCTTCAGACTTCAACAAATCTTCATGCGACTTCAACTGGACGAAGGTACGTTTTAACCGTTTGTTTTTTAGTTCTAATTAAAAAAAAAAAAAAAACAGAAACGGGTCGTTTTTTTGTTTTTCAATTTTGCCCCAAAACGGAAAAACGGAAATTCAGCTCGTTTTTTCGTTTTTCTGTTCTTACTGTTAAAACAAGTATACCACTCAATGTTTCGTTTCCATAGGTGGGTGTGTCTCCAGTGCCTCCTTGCTTCTGATTGGCTAGTTTGCCCTATGCTTGCGCTGTACTCTTCAAAATAAAGGTTCTAACTCTTTGCCTTTACACAGTGCAAAAATGACAAGCGATAACATTATTTTTGGCCATACGTTTTTCATAAGACTGATGAAGTTGGAATCAGTTCTAGTTACAACTATCCCAAATACTATGAAATACCTTTACTGTGTACTTCTTGATACTCTCCTGTCAAAGTCCCCTCCATGGTACAACAATGCCTGTCTTGCTGCTATATGTGACGAGCAATACAAATACTTTTAAGTTCGAAGACTGATCATTTTGGACTCAGTAGTGACTACTAGCTCAAAGACTATAAAATACTTTTATTTTGTACTTTCAGAGAAATCCTCTGTCAAATTGTCCACCTTGAATACCCCATGCAGATGCTCCTGTCTGTCAAACACAAGCAGAAACATTACTTTCCAGAGAAGAGAAAAGAGAATAAAGGAAAGAAAATCGTTATAAGGGGTGATTAATGAACATTAATGAGAGACATAATATGGCTAGGGAGGCTGTGGCTAATCGTGCGTTGATCTTTGGATCAGGGGGGCACTGGTTCAATCTCCACTGCAGTCAGCATGTCGTTGTGTCCCTGGGCTTCACCCCAAATAGCTCCTGTGAGGATTGTCCACAGTATTGAGTGTATGTAAGTCGCTTTAAGGTAAAAGCAACTAACAAGTGACATGTAGAGGTCAGTGGCACTCAGACTCTACAGGGGTCATTTTTTGATCATGGGGCATCACCCTTGTACAGCATCAGGACAATATCTCTATGGAGTCAGACACTGAAAGTGTGCTGGAGGCTGATGCGTTGACTGGGACAGATGGAAAGATGAGGCTGATGAGACTGAAGAATCTGCGAGGAACGAACTAGGGGCAGAGAAATAATCATATG